GTATATATATATATATATATATATATGAAGAGAGTACCAACTCTTTTGTTTGCAGAGTTCATTTTGAAATCACCATATCACAAATATCACCTCTAGACGTTATCTGCAAGGAGTGTTGTGATGCAGCAGGTATAGCATTTGCTTGACAGGCCCACATCTCACATCAGAGCACCTAGGTTTGAGTCCTTACTAAGCTTCCAATCCACCTTTTTCTTGATGCATACCCCGGGAGGCAGCAGCTGATGGCTTAAGTACTTAGGGCCCTGTTACTCATGTGGGAGACACCAGTGGATGCCTGGGTTGGTCCAGGCATTTGAGGGAGTGAACCAGCAACCCTCTCTCTTTTTCCCTTCTTCCTCTTATCCTGCCTCTGACTCTATCTCTTGGTCTCATCAAAGTGTTCTGCCTTCTAGATAGATAGATAGATAAAATTTTCCCCTAAAAAGAAAGGAATGCTCAAAATGAAATTGGATGGGGCATGGTGTTGAATCTCTGTATCAGAGCCTTTGAGAGGGGTTTGGGAATCTGGATTTTAAGTGAATGCTTCCCTGAAGATTCACTTACATGAAAGGGTTTGAGCGTCACTGTTCTGCAGCATAACCTTACAGGGCCTCCTCTTCAGTCTCCTCTCAAACACTTCTGCAATGTTCATAACTTAAGAAAACTCCCAAGCATATATTGCTATTGTTACTAGAAAAAAAAAAAGCAAGCTTAAAATGGGAGAAAAAGCGTCCTTTTCCAACCTGTTAGAGCTGGTCATGTGTGGTCCAGTTATTGCTCACTTGAAAGACACAGATCTATAGTGAGACAGAGATCTCCCATCTGCTGCTTCTCTTCCCAAACGCAACAGCCAGGGCTGGGCCAGGATGAAGGTGGGACTTGGGAACTCAGACCTCCCAGGTGTGGGGCACCTCAGCCACCTGTGCCATCACCACTGCTTGTCAGGGTGCCCATTAGCAGGAGGCTGCACTGGAAACAAGGGAACTGGGACTTGAACCTGGCACTCTGATGAGGGATGCATGGCATCCCTAGTGACACCTTACGGCACGGAGTTCCCGTACTGCCACCAGTTTGAATGTGGCACTCTGAACGAATGAGTCTCCCAGGAGCTCCCTCCAGGTAATGGCCGGATTCCAGCTCAGCAGCTTTGCTGCCTCTTCCTCCAGTGCCTTCCAGTTTTTCAAAAAAGAAGGCCTCTGCAATACCAGGAGCTTGGGGATCAGAATTCTTGCTCTGTCCCTGGGCAGACAGGGAGATTGAAGCACACCTTTCCCTCACTCCCCATCTTCTGGCCTTGGTAGGTCTAATTTCTTGGAAACCAGGGATGCCAAAAGGTGGGAATGTGGGGGATACGGAGGAAAGGGTGGGAATGCAGAAGACCCTGGGAAGGCAGTCAGGAGGCAGAGATGGAGGTGAAGAAATTTCCTGCATCCATGGTGGGCTAGGCTGGGCTAGGCTATAACTTGCAGGGGAAAATAACAACAAACAACCCTAACGGCTTCCTTTTCATTGTTGCCTCCTTTTCTGCAAACTTCTGGGTGCCAGGGGCAGCATGTATGGGCCCCACACACAGCCTGACCAGAAGTTTCCATGACAACCCAAAACTTCCTCCTGGGCTCTGTTATTCAGTCCGAGTCTCCCAGGCCTCAATGAGGTTTCTGAGAAACCACCCACAGAACAACCCCAGGATCAAACAGCGGCTCCCCGCCCCGTTGTCCCCTAAACATGGTCAGCTGAAAGGACATGGGGGCGGGCAAGAAGCTTTTCTGGCAGAAAAACACGTCCCAGGGTCAGTGGGGAGAGCTGTCTTTACAACAGTTTTGAACCAGGAAGAATGGACTCAGTGGAGGGATGTGAAGCATGAAGATAGAAAAGTGAGAGGGGTGGGGGAGGGCAGCCGGTCGTGTTAAAGCAAGCTGGCCCCTAGCGCAGCTGCAATTAGCCATGGCTCACTGGGTCTCTATGCTCTAGAAGGACTCGGGAGTGCCCTCAACCCCAGCACATTTGAATTCCCTTGTAGCCAAATAAATAGGTCCTAGTGGTTGTAGAGGTGGGGAGATTGTGCGAATGTGTGCGCGTGCAGACAGGAACCTGGGCATGTCTTAACTTGTCAAGCCAAGCAGACTTCTGGGATTCCTGCTAGTATGGTTTCTAGATGCAGCAAATGAAGCTGCAGCATGTCCAGTTTAATCTCAGATAAGCAATGCATTGTTTTTACAGTGTAAGTCTGCCCCCATTGCAGTGTTTGGGGCACATATCCATTAAGCTATGGTTCACTGTTTCTCTGAGATTCAAATGTGATTGGATATCCTGCATTTCACTTGGCCACCTGACCCGGCAGAGGGAGGGACGGAGACCCAGGCTTAGTCCTCTGGCTGCAGGGAGAAGTACGAGCTACCCTTTTGTTCATGCTTTAGAGAGATGCTCCCTTCCCTCCAGGTGCCTGGCCTGCGTTGCAGGTGGGATGCAGGTAGCACCCCTCTCCTTCACTAAACAGGACTAGGTAGCTTTCTAAGTATGGCCATGCAGCAGGTACTCCACAGAGGTGACCCTTCCAGCCCAGTGCTTAAGAGTGTAGGCTCTGGGACCAACTCAGATGCCAGTCCTGGCTAGGCAACTAGGTGATCTTTGACCTTGTATTCCAGAACATAGGTACGGAAAGCCCTTCACACAGTGTGTGTCACAGAGTCAGGACCCCATAAGGGGGCGGCAGTTATCTTCACAAGCCATTTAAGGGCTTGTCATTCAAGTGAAAAAAGTGGAATTTAAGAACAGGGTCCATATCATCTTGGCACTACATCTTTCTCTCTGTATGAAGAGACTCACCCACAGTGCCACCAGTGGCTGCCTGTGGTTAGTGGGGGTTTCCTAGTAGGCTTCCTCCCTTTATTCTCAATTTCCCACAGATAGCCGTGGGGAGCTATGTAATACTTTACTGGTAAGGTATTATTTGGGACAAGCACTTTTCCAAAAGTATTTGGTACTTGGTGCAGAAATTGGGGCTGCTATGGATGAAAGCAGCCCACCCTCTTGGGTTGGGGCTTTCCTAAAGGAAAGCAGTGTTTGCCTTTTCACCCAGTGAGGGAACTGGCTTTTCCCTCCCACACTCACTTTCCCTGCTCCTTGAGGGACACAGCCTGAGTAGTGGCTCCATAAGCACATGGTTCCGAGCTTGAACCTCCGCAATGCCCCACCTGGCCATGTGACTTTAGACAAGTCATGTTGTCATCTGCATGCAATTTCCTTGGGTTGCCATTGGGTGTTAGAATTACCTCCAGGAGGGGAGGCTCATATCTGATTTGTGAATATATCCCTGTGCCACACACGGGGCCCAGTGTATAAGAGGGCAAGAACTATTAGCTGAGGGAGCCAGTGAATGGAGCTGAGATGACAGGTACAGCATGTGGCGGAAGGGTAATCCTGGGTGATCAACAGTCATTGGCTGTTATTGCTGTTTTCAGAGGGGTGCGGACTTTGGCATGGAGGAGCCCTTTGTGGGGGAGGAAAGGTCCCTTAGGTTACTGTGCTTGGGCTCCCTGAGCTTCAGTTCCCTCTGTCCCTGCCTGGCCTGCAGCTGTGTGAGGTGCAGTGGTGGGACAAAGATCCTGTGGCCCCTGCCCCTCGGAATGCATTGGAAGCTGACAACTTCTGATTAGAAGGGAACTCAGGACTTCAGATCAGGGGCCACCTCTCTGCAGCCCCGTTCCGGAGAAGAGAAGCCCGGAGTGGACCCTTAGACACAGTGGGGGAAGTAGCTCCAGCGGGTGTTTGAAATCCGATTCCTGGGATTGTAAAGTTCCACACTTTGGCCTCCCCTGACTCAGCCAGATTTGAGAGCCTCCCCCACAGGATGGCGGCGCCAGCAGTCCTGCAGTCCTTGGCAGTTCTGGCTTAGAGACTTAGAGATTCGTTGTTCTAAAAGTTCCCATCCAGGAACTGGGGGCGGGATCTCCCAGAGGGAGCGGGAGGAAACTGGAATAAGAAAGATGGTCCGTGCTGGAGAATAGCACTCCAGTACTGGTAGCAGGGTGCCTGGCTTTGCCCTCTCTGGTACAGGGTTTGATGGGTGGGTTGTGCAAAGGGTAGCTGGCCCTTGAGCCCAAGTCCCTGATCACTTTCTAAATAATGCCCGTAACTGACAGAGACCTGGATCTGCCTTCCTCAAAGGGCCCTCTCCAAGCTCAGAATCCAGCATCCTGAACACTTACTGGGTGGGCTGAAGGGAGAGTGTGGTGGGAATAAGGGGGCATTTCTGTTCTTTTCCCTCTCATATCTATGTTTTCCAGTTTTCACTGATTCCGTATGACGTTGATGGCATTTTTCTAATCTGGAAAGCCTTTCATTGCCCTAAAATAGACAAGTAATAGGTGTGGACTATAAACCAGCAATCAGAAAGACTAGAGAAAAACACCTGCTAGCCCAAAGTCCGGTCATCTGATAAGTAAAGCCGCCGATGACGCTGACTCTCCCATCCCGCAGCACACGCAAGCAGAGGAAGGCGGCTCCTCACACACTTGGCACTGCTCTCTGCTGTGCTCAGCAGCCGGGACGCTGTCAGGGTCCTGCCCAGCCGCTGCCAGCTCAGGTCCTCTCTGCCCCACCGCCTGCTTCTTGGCTGTGCCTATTTTCCACTCTCTTGCCCTGAACTGCGCGCTCCCGAATGCCTCGGCTTGGGGGACCCGCCAGGAAGTGGACCTCGCAGGACTTCTGTAGGCGAGAGCCCGAGCGAGAAGGAGAAACTGAGTGTAAAGGCTTGAGTGTGAGAGCGAATGAGTGTGAATGTGTGTGAGCTTAAACACGGGAGCAGCACGGCATAGTCAAGTGTGGATGCCTGAGAGGATGAATGGGAGAGAAAAGAGGAAATGAAAGAAGACAAGAGAAAGTGATTGAAAAGAATTTCAAAGGGATGGAAAGGAGGAAAACTCCGCCATGAAGGATGCTGCGCCCACCGCGCGCTCTTCCCGCCCTGCACATGGCACGGTGGCTTGGCGCCCGCTTACCTGACCTGAGCAGCACTGCTCGGTAGAGCCCTGTGGCCTCGGCAGGTCCCCGTGCCCACTCGCCCAGCCTCTGCGCCATGCCCTGCGCACCGGCTGACTTGGGAGCTGGCACTGCAAGCCAGAGCAGAGTGCCCAGCTAGAGCGGCTGCAGCCGCTGGAGAGCAGTCCCCAACAAAGCGCCTGGGGCTCGGCGACTCGGCCCAGCCTCCCAAACCCCACTGCGGATCTGGTTACAGTGGAGCTGGTGGCCCGAGGGACGGACGTTGGGGCGCCAGGAGGGAAGGCGGGCAGGGGCAAGACCAGGAGTCAAGGACGGGGTGGGGGGCAGGCAAGGCACTGGGGGCGTCAGGAGTGAGGACTGCTAGCTAGCCCCGAGGTGCCAGGGTCAAGGCGAGAACACAGTGTTCTGACTCCTACTGTCTGTCGCCCGCCTACTGTTTTCCATTCTTGGATGCTGCAGGTCTGTGTGGCCATACCTGGGAAGTGCTGTACCTGGGATCAGATCCCAGCGACATGAAATCACAGCTAGGTGACTCCATGCTTTAGTTTCGGCAAAAGCTCAGTTAAACTCATTTGTAAAGTGGAAGTGGCCCTAGTATTTCTCTTACAAGGGAATGAGTGCTTAGAACAGCCCCTGGCAGAGCACACACCCCACCGACCTAGCAGTTAAGACATTCAGAGTCACACGCTTGACTCCCTGCTTCCTACGCCAGCTGCTTGGCCACCCGGGAGGCCACAGTGATGGGTCAAGTCATTGCTGTCCCTGCCGCCCACGCGGGAGACCTGAATTGAGCGCTCGGCTCCAGCTGCTGAAGACATTTGGAGAGTGAACCAGTGGGTGGAAGATCTTGTCTCTCTCTGTCTCAAGAAAAAAAAAAAGTGGTTCCAAGGTATCCCAGGACACAAGAAGGCTGAGGGTGCAGGCTTGTAGGACCCTGAAAAACTGATTTTTCTAGCTTTGTGGAGATGGGAGGTTCAATGGGAGAGTAACCATGGGGTCAAAGTCCGACAGCATATGGGTTGGGAGAAATGAGAGGCTAACAATTTTGGTGATCTTCTCTGTGTCTGGTGAGGTGCTATTTTTCTTTTTTTAATTTTTTGACATTTATTGAATGCTTCATGTCTGTTTTGTCTAATCTCTTAAACCCTTTGAACTGGGATTCATTGGCTTTCAGTTTCTCAAATGAGAGAAAATTGAGGCTCAGAGAGGTTAAGCATCTTCTGTATAGTCACACAGCATGGAACTAGGGTATGAATTCAGGGGGCCTAGAGATCAACTGCTCTGCTCTGTTAGCTCTCCGGCTCCCCATTTACTCTTCACAACAGCCTAAAGGGTAGCGATCACCTCCAGTAAAGAGGGGAGGTTCCTGGGACTCAGGAAAGTAGGGTGGCTCCCTCATGGCTGCAGGGCCAACACCCACCCCAGTTTGCCACCCACAGAACCAGGACCCAAACTTGGATGGCCACTCTTCAAAACTGCCTCAGTGGTCAAGGAATCAGCCTTAGTCATGCAGTACCATCTCCCTCTGCCTTTGCATCCTGCCAGTCTTGGAGCTTCCTAGGCCAGCTGCCGGCCAAGCCCTCTTTGGTTGGTCCTTGGCCACTGCCTAGGCCCAGCCTCTGTTCACACTCAGAGGTTTCTGTGTCCTGAGGATTCATATGATATTCCTCAAACCTCACCCAGGGTCCTGATGTGATGCTTCATTTTTGGAGACCTTGCTAGTTGGCCAGACTGACCATCGGCAATCAGCCTTCAGGGACACCAGGCATGATGCCAAGTATTGGGCGTTCACTATCTCACTTCTTTCTCCAGAGGATGTCGTCCTATCCAATTCATAGTTGATCTCATTTAGCCCACTCAGTCATTCTTTGGGGAAGGTAATGGTATGTCTCTTTTAGAGGTAAGGAGAATAAGGCTTGAGTGATTTGCACAAGATCACATCGCTAGAATTTGGACCCAGATGGTGGCAAATCTGGGGTCAGGGAGGGCCGGGCTCTGGAAAGGCAGCCAGGGAGCTGCTGTGCCAAGTGAGAATCAGGAAAGGTGTGGCTCAGGGGACTGCTGCTGGGGAGTGTGGAAAGGAGGAACTCCGACTGTACCCACAAGGAGCTCTATCTGGCCTGAATTACTTGAGCCAGATTGACTCTGCTGCTCATTTTCACTCGGAAGTCTGACCTGGGGAGGGATTCTCTCCGTGAACAGAAAGAAAGCGGGTGGAGGTGAAGACCTCTGCCTGGGATTGGGTGCTGAAATGGTCCTCGGATCCCTAAGTCTATTGGCTATAGAAGGGGGTTGGATTCTCTGCTGAGAAGCAAATCCCTGCAGTCCTTGGCATGTGTGTATATATGAAAGCAAGAGAGAGGGAGGGAGGGAAGGAGAGGTAGGTCAGATCAGATCATGTTCTCTTTACAAATATTTTCTTTGAACAGTTTTAGATTTAGAGCAAACATAGCAAGCTGGGAATACATTCTCCTGATACTGCACACACTGGATTTGCCTGTGGTTGATATCCTTCCATGTGGGAAGATGGACAGCTTTGGAGGACAGTGCTTTTGTTAGAATTAATGAACTGCTATTGATACATGATTACTAACTGAAGTTCATGCTTTATTCAGATTTTCTTAGATTTTGCTCTATGCCCCTTTTCTGTTCCTGGTGTTCCAAGACCCCATCTAAGATCCCATCTGACATTGAGCCATCCTGTCTCCTTAGGCCCACCCCATGACTGTTGCATATTGTCTTTGTTTTTGGTGACCTTCACAGTACTGAAGCGTAGCCCATGCTCTCTCCTGCTGAGTTCATGTCCATGCCGTCCTGTGGACCTCAACTGCCTTCTTCCCATCTTCCTGGGAAAGTCCTTTTTCTTCAAGGACCAATCCAGAATGTTCCAGTGGTTGGTGTTTAGGATCAGCTCCTGGACTTTTCTTTTTCCTCTATGCTCTGAGGTCTTTGAAACCAAATCTAAATGCAGACTGTTCCTTAGCCATGACCATGGTCAGTCACTTGACATCTCCACTTGAAATTCACTGTGGCCCAAATAGGATTCTTGTCCACCTCAGTCCCCAATCCATTCTTCCTCTGTGTTTTCCATCTCAGCAAGTGGCTTGTCTCTGAAACTGGGACTCTGTCTTGCCAGAACCCCGGAAGCCTGGTACCACTTAGATGTGGCAAGCCCGCTGCCTAGCCAGTCTTCTTGAATTCTTCTTCTGTCCACCAGCCCAGGTACTTCTACCATGTCTCTGGAAACCTACAGCAGCTGCTCTCCTTCAAGCCATTCCCCATACAGACATTAGACTAAGATTAAAAAAAAAGATTTGCAAACCCTGACCCTACCCAATTCATCAGCTTGAGCCTATGAGTCAAACCCTGCTGCCCAGGGGGTTCTCCCTAGTGAAGGAGAGGTGAGTGCAGCTCTTAGGATTTGGGGAGTTAGCTGCTCAGGGAGGATGTCAATAGAGCACTGGGGTTGGGTATGCCTGGCCTGTTCAGGAAACAATGAGGAAGCTGGGGCAGATGGAGCCAAAGGTCAAGAAACAGTGAACTAAGAGGAGTTCATTGCGGAAATGGGGGCAGCCTCACTATCACCCACAGTCCAATCACTCAGAGCCTTTGGACACCTTACAAACAGAGCTTTCTCTCACCTCTCAGGTTTTGCACAACTCTTTCTTCCACCCAGGACATACCTTCAACCCTGCCTAAAACTCCTTCTCCTTAAGGTCTTTGCCAGAAGCCCACTTGCTCAGGGAGGACTCCTGGTGATCCTGGGCTCCCACTGCACCCCAGACTCCCCTTGTGTTACCAGTCCCCACAGATGGTGATTCATTCAGCACTGTGTCCCCTACCACACTGTCCTCACCTTGGTTGGGGGGGCAGGGGTGGAAGGTGTCATCTTCATAGTGGTGTCCCCATGGCGTCATCTGGAGCTGGACCTGGTGTGGATACCCAATAAAGGTTCATTAAAGGAATGAATGAATGAATGAATGAACGAATGTGCCCACAGAAGGAGTTCTGGGCTGTATTAGGAAAGTGGGTAATTTCAAAGAGAATAAAGCCAGGGTCAGACCCAAGGGAGGCCCCACCTGCTGTTTGCCCAGGGATTATCTTAGTGGAAGGAGAGGCCTGGAGTCCTAATGTTTCCCCTAGAGGTTCTTCCTTTAAAGCACTGCCAGCAAGGAGGGCCTGGAGAAGGAGGGTGTTTGGGGTTGAGCCAGGTCTCTCTGTGTGTGTGTTTTAAACAAAAGCATTGATGGGCCAAGTAACCTTATCTGTGGAAGAAAATTCTAGGACCTAGGAAAAAAGACCTATCCCAGAGGGTTTGGGGATCTGAGCTGCTTGTATGTCCTGGCTTGGGGGCTGGGCAGGTGACGCAGGGTCTTTGGCACCATTAGCATTACAAAGCCAGGATGTCTTAAGGAGTGGCTCCCAGACCTGGGGTTCAAAGAAATGTCCCTTTGCATACCTGCCAAGCCCCTTTTAGTGAAAGACTTGTGGGAAAATCAGGTCATTCTGTGTTCAGTGACACCTCAGTGACCAAGGGATTGGGGTTTTGCAAATGACAAAAGCTGTTTGTACAGACCAGTGGTTTGCAAAGCCACCTCAGTCTTTGCTTGTTATTGCAGGGAACTGATCATTTCCAAGAACTGTGGTGATACCTGGAGCCAGCTCCTTCTTGGCACACCATTTAGTGTTGGAAAGGCTGCCTTGGTTATAGTTTGGTTAATGAAAGTTAGCAAATATAACCTCCAAAAGGAATGCAAGAGTGCTTCAAGAAGTACATGGAGAAATGGAATTAAGACAAATTTATTTTGGTGCAAAGAAAATTTGAAACCCATGCGTAGTTTTTTCATTACACACATTTTCACAAGTTTTTGGAAGACCCCTTGTACTATTGCATGGTGTTCAATATACTCAAATATAATGATGGAACGTTAGCCTTGGCAGAAATCCTAGACCTTCACATCTCATCCTTCTGTGACCACCTGCTTCCTGGTCATGCCCTGGTTGTTGAGAAAAACCTCTTGGGGTGGGTCACCGGATGATCTTACATCCAAAGTCTCCTCTTCCCACTGCTTCCCCTAGAGATTGATGCCTTGATTAGAAGTGCCA